CGCAGTGAGGCCCTTGCGCTGCTGTGACACCTCTGCGCTCAGCCTGGTCCTTTGAGCAGCGGCAGCAGCTCCCACTAAAATCCAGCTGCGTCCGGCCCAAGGACAGACCAGATTCCCTCCAGCTCCTGTGCAGCTCTCGCGGCCGTGCTCTGTGTGCACAGACAGAATGGCCGGAGCAAACAAATCCGACCGTCGACCACAGCCTGGGCTTCAGAGGATGGTTCAGCTGCCCCTGCCTGAGGTGTGTAATATACATAGATTGCATGGGCAGGTTAAAATCCCAGCAGGGCTCACCCGGTCCTTCCTTCATCTGCGTTAGAGAAATGGAGTTGTGAGCCTCTCTTGGGTGAGCCCCTAAAACCCAGGCCCTGCCTGTTCTCAACAGACATTATTAAACACCCCACCACACTGTTTGCAGGAGCCAGGGTTTGCCCAGGTGTCCTCAGGCACAGTTCCCTTTGCCCCCTGCTCCCAATTCATAGAATATCAGGGCTGGAAGGGACCTCAGGAGGTCATCTAGTCCCACCCGCTGCTCAAAGCAGGACCAATCCCCAGATGGATTTTTGCCCCAGATCCCTAACTGGCCCCTCTCAAGGACTGAACTCACAACTCTAGGTTTAGCAGACCAATGCTTAAACCACTGAGCAGGGCTCTAGGCACACTGGCTGCATTCCCTTGCTGGGCAGACTGACCCTGCTGGTGAAAGGACCCTCTGGCCGGATGCTCCGGGAAAGCCCCACGAAGCTCAGTCCCTATCACACCGCAGAAGCACCGCTTGCCTTGGTAATCCGGAATGAGCACTGCTCCCGAGATGCTCCTTGCAAAGTATTGTGGGCTGCGAGTCTTTGGCCTCTCCCTGACCACCAACAAGGTGGTGAAGGAGTACGACAGCAAAGAGAGCGCCAACCCCGAGGGTGTGCTGGAGGTGAGCCGGTTGTGGGCTGTCCCCCTACAGACACTGGTCACGGAGCTGGTGAGCAGGATTGACCCCACCAGCCAGCAGGACGCTGCAAAGGACAACGAGCGAGCACATGGATATGAACTCTGAAACTCCCCTGAGCTGAGCCTGAGATCCATGTGCTAACTCTGGGCATAACTATCTTAGCCTGCTTGGCTTTAATCTCCCACTGCTTCAGCAGCAGACATGGGTGAGCTAGGGTGACCAGATAGCAAATGTGAAAATTGGGACTGGGGGGAATAGGAACCTATATAGGAAAAAGCCCCAAATATCGGGACTGTCCCTATAAAATCAGGACATCTGGTCACCCTAGGGTGAGCTACTCACAGCAGAGAGGGCACAGAACTGGGAGCCAAGACTTCTTGGGGGCTAATCCTAGCTCTGACACAGACTCCTCTCTGGGCTTGGGCAAGTCACTTTGCCTCTGGGCCTGGGCCGCAGCTTCCCATCTATAAAATTTAAACAGAAAGTAATTCTCACCCTGTGCTGTAACAGAACCGGGGCTAATATCTGCATACCTACCAAGAGGGCTGTGGAAGATCATCACTAAGGGCTTGTCCACAGAGGAAATTATACTGGTGTAAAGTGACCAGTTGTAGTTGTACTCGTATAACTCCTTGTGTGGACACTCTTGTTCTGGAAAGAGGGCCTTTTCCTGGTTTAGCTTATGTCACTTTGGAAGTGGTTTAGTTTAAACTGGAGAAAACCACTTTTATTCCAGAGTAAGTGTCCACACCAGAAATTACGGTGATTTAACTATATGGGTATTATGCCAATATAACTACCCCTGTAGGCAAGCCCTTAGCTAAGGGTTGTAAGGCCCTTTAAAGGTAGAAAATGCTATATAGCTAAATGTGATTAATCTCCTGCCCGGTAGGCTCCCGTGCTCATGGATGGGAAGGGGAAAGGGAAAGGATATCCTGTGTGAAGACAGGTGAGAAGAGATCACAGCCTAACCCTGCAGTGATTAGATGGAGCCAATGCTATGAATGACCTCTTGCAAGACAAAGAGAGCAGCCTCTCCAGCCCAAGGCACAGGACAGGTCATTACCAACGTGCTGATTGGGCCACTGCTGGGACTGTCCTGTTTCTTGGCCCTGCTGAATTGCCATATGCTGAGGTCTTCCCTCAGGCAAACCATACACTGGCGGTGTGCAGTTCGGGCTCCATTCCCGCAGACCGAAAGGGAAGACAAAGCGTGCTCTGCACAGAAACCGTTGAAAGATGGCGCCAAATGTGGACGGAAGCACAGGGATTGCTGGGATGCAAAGCGATGCATCACGGGGCGTTGGGACAGGATCCAGAATGCCCCGCACCCCACGCCCCCTTCCCACAAGCCACAGCGCCAGAATGGGAAGAGGTGCTCTATGGGATAGCTGCCCATAATGCACCACTCCAAATGCCGCTTCAAGTGCCGCAAATGTAGCCACGCCAGTGCGCTGTCAGCTGTCAGTGTGGACAGACTGGAGCGCTTTCCCTGGGGCGCTCTCCGAAGGCGGGTTTAACCCAAAGCGCTCTACATTTGCAAGTGTAGCCATGGCCTAAGTGTTGGGCCTGAATAAGGACTGCAGTACAGAGCCCATATTTATATCGGAGAGAGGTTTTGTTAGGCTTATGAACAAAGTAGCACCAACTTAATGACAGGTGTGACTTTAAACTGATTTAGTTAAACTGGTGCCACTTGTGCGTAGATGCTCTTCAATCGTTTTAAATCTTAACAATTTGTCAATTTGGGGCTTGCCTACACGCGACCTGACCTGGCACCGAATGAGGTAAATGGGTTACAATTCACACCATTAATAATTTCAGTGGAAGGCTGTGTGTGGACACACTCATTCTGGAGTAAGAGCACCAGTCCTATTTCAATATTGGTAAAATGTAGATTTGAACTGAAATAACTCAGGTGTGAATTACAACCCCTTTTGTTATTTCAGTGCCATTTATCACATAGACAAGTCTTTATGGGGCAAGCTAATCCATTATAACCTGTTTTAATCTGATGTAAAGGTGTCCACACCGGGATATGTACTGGTTTAACTAAACTGGTGCAAGTTTGTGTGTAGAAAGCTCCCAGGTAATGAAGTATTGGGCGAAGTTCCCTGGCCTGTCTTATTTAAGAGGGCAGACTAGATCATCGTAATCCTTTCTGGCCTTCAAAATCTATGAATCGTCCACTCGTACACAAACCAGACACTCAGGAAAGGTTTGGGATTCTAACGATGCTCTAACATTTTTTAAAAATTACTCATAAATCCAACTGTGTAGAAATGAATGGCTTTGTAACTAAAGTTATTCACATGATCCAATAAATCTGGTAACACATCGTGCCAAGAATCAGGGGGTAGCCGTGTTAGTCTGTATCCACAAAAACAACAAGGAGTCCGGTGGCATTTTAAAGACTAACAGATTTATTTGAGCATAAGCTTTCGTGGGTAAAAAACAATGCATCTGAAGAAGTGAGTTTTTTTATCCACGAAAGCTGATGCCCAAATAAATCTGTTCGTCTTTAAGGTGCCACCGGACTCCTTGTTGTTTTTATGGAAACACAGACACACTGACTATGGATTTGGGGGGCACTGGACACAGCCTGTGTCCAACGCCCACAAATCACACAGCTCCATGCGTCTGACGAAGTGGGTATTCACCCACGAAAGCTCATGCTCCAATACGTCTGTTAGTCTATAAGGTGCCACAGACTCTTTGTCGCTTTTTACAGAACCAGACGAACACGGCTCCCGCTCTGATACATGGCCCGTGGTTTTCTAAAGCCCATTTCAATTAACCTTTCCCGGGAGGGGGCATAGCCTCTGAAGATGCTGCACCCAGCCCAGGGCTGCAGGGGGCTGGGCAGAAGGTTCCCTGCAATTGCTGCTTCATTGGGTCTTTTCCTAACTTTGGCGCTTGACTCTGCAAGCTGGAGGTTCCTCAAGCAGGGTGACCAGACAGCAAGTGTGAAAAATCAGGACAGGGGGTGGGGGGTAATAGGCACCTATATAAGAAAAAGACCCAAAAATCGGGACTGTCCCTCTAAAATCGGGACATCTGGTCACCCTGTCACCTGTCCTAGGCCGTGTCCACACCAGGACAGAGAGCCCAGCGCCAGGGTCGGATCCAGGCACCAGCCTGGCAAGCAGGTGCTTGGGGCGGCCGCTCCGGAGAGGGGCAGCACGTCCAGCTATTCGGCGGCAATTCGGCGGACGGTGCCTCACTCCCGCTCGGAGCGAAGGACCTCCCGCCGAATTGCCGCCGCAGAT